TGTGTGTGTGTGTGTGTGTGTGTGTGTGTGTTATGTTTCATTGTGATGCTGCATCTGTCACTTTACAGATGTTAGCACTTTCCACAGATGCTTCTCAATGCTTCTCAATGAAATTCCTGAGGATGCTCACTCAGCCCCTCTGCTAGTTGCTTTGGATGTTCAATCCACAACTTTCCCCTTCAAATAATCATTTTTAATAGTTTTGTGCTGCTTCTGCCTGTTTGGTCTTTAGTTTTGCTTTGATTTTTGAAGATAGTTGCTCGATTCCACGGAATTTGTTTCCTTTGTATTTTCATCTTGTTCTATGTTGAAGACAACTGAGAACCTTCTTCTGTACTAAATATTAGAAAAGAGGGAGATGCATTTAGAAAAATAAGACACAGAGATCCTTGTGGGCTGCCACAGGCCTCTGCTTGAAACTATGAAAACATGGTCAAAGTGAGTCTTGCAAGAGGTCAGCTTTTCGATTGAACAATTATGCTTAACAATAACATTCTACCCTGCATGTATATGCATGTGACCCCATGCATGTCTACATGTATGCAAAGATCCAGAATCACGCTCCCATTAATAGCTCAAGTCCTACCCTCATACCTCTCCATTAGTCTCCATTGCAGCTTCCACCACCTAGAAGATCCTGGAGCCCAGTTTGAGTGGAGGAAACATCACATGTTATGAAAGATGTGGATGGAATTATGATGCCTTATGAAGAGGGCATGGAATCTGAACATTCAAAACCCAGCAAACAGGTTCAAAGGAAGGGATCTTCTAAGCATCCGCCTTATTGGTTAGTCCTTTCACCATGGCCAGTTCCTGTTCTGCACTGATGCATAATCGATCGACCACCTTCTCCTGATGGATGGGATTTAAACATGGGATTGGATAACTGATGGAGTTCCATGTAAAGCAATGGCCACTTGCAAGGGAGTGCAAGGCTTGATGAAAGGCACTTCTCTATCTGGCAAGCAGGAAACAACGTCTCCCCACCATCAAAAGGTAGTTAGAAAGAAGATCAGTGGGATTAAAGAAGCTAAAGGACACGTGCATCCAATTTCCACAAGTCTATAACCTAATTCTGCTTTCCTTTCTGAAAATTTAATTAATTAGACTCTGAGAGAATCTAGCATTCTTGATTGTGAGCAGATGCTAAGGTTGCCTGATACTCACCTTGAACCAACACAAGAATATCAGGCACCAAATATCCACAATCTACCATGGGATAGATGCCAGGCCACCAAGGCCACCATACAATCCCCATTAATTTTTCTGCCCTGTTCTCCTTTAAAGTGACTCACAAATTTCCCTGGAAATGTGGCAGCAACCAGAGTAGACAAAAGAGGCATACTTTTAACCCCAACCCTACCAATTACTCATACAAGTTTGACTCTCTCTGATCTATTTTCCCAACTGCGGTTCATCTCGTTGCAACTTCCATCAACTTGCTCTTTCTGTTTTCTTGGTCGTGATTCCCAAGGAACACCTGCCTCCAGCTCTAACTGCCATCCCTCCAAACCCCCAATGTAACTTCACACATACCTAAAAGATGGAAGCATGCTGTCGTAGTAACACCAGGTAGCAGTCAGGTAGGATCGGTTGATGTCTGTGGAGTAGAGGCGCCAAGCAGCCTAAATCAAGGAGGAAGAACAGGAGAAAGATAGAGAGAGGCCAGAGATAGACCAACTTAAGAGGGCTTCCTCTAATGTCTCCACCCAGCCTTAACAAAGCAGGTCAGTGGTGGGATTCAAATTTTTTTACTACCAGTTCTATGGGCATGGTTTGGTGGGCATGGTGTGGCTTGGTGGGCATGGCTTGGTGGGCATGGTGTGGCTTGGTGGGCATGGCTTGGTGGCAGGGAAAGGATACTGTAAAATCTCCATTCCCTCCCCACTCCTGGG